ATGCACTCACACACATGCACACGCACGCACTCACACACACGCACACACATGCACACAACACACATGCACACACACACGCACATACACATTTGTCTAGCTGATCTCGCAAAGGTTAAGAAAATCATCTTAAGTGGACAACAGATGACCTAGATAATACCTAATTATGTTCTTGAAATGAATCCCTATTTTTAAGTCTGTAATAAAGTGACTTCCAACTCTGGTAAAATCTCTATTAGCCACTGTGATTAGTATCAGTAGCTGGTCATTTAAGAAGGTTAAAATAGCGAAATCATAATTTCAGATGTATAATTGTACATTCATTTGCTCATCTTCTGATGTAAAGCCAAGGCCTTTCCTCTGCATAAGGGTCCAATGATTGCAGTTCTGGTCTTGCATAAATCATACCAATAATGTACCAATCTGGGTACATTTTAATACCTTCTGATCAGCCTAGATTTTTTAAAGGTGAAATGAGTACTTAAATAAATAAATCTTGTGAAGCAGTCTGAGCTCAGAAATTTGCTTGAATTTTATGTTCTCCGAATATTTTATAATTTTCCCAACCATACCTAATTTAAAAGCCATTTTTATTAGTGGCAACCTTCATCAAATCTTACCAAAGCAAAGCATCCAAGCTACTTTTTGCAGAAGTGACCCTTTCTTTTCAGACCCAGATTTCCTGGGCTTATGTTGAATCATGTATTTACAACAGGAGGCAGAGATGCACAGAGAAGTGTGGTGTGGGCACAAGGGAGGGAGCGGAGCGTGTGAGCACACAGGGAGCAGCCCCTGAGCAGTGTCGGGTGGGCAGGCAGCTCACAAGAGGATGGAGACTATGCAGGGATCTGGTGAGTCAGGTAAGTAAAGGTTAATTAAGAGCACTTATTGTACTTAGAGGTTCCTCTGAATGCTAATGCTGAAGCAAAAATCAAGTGGTTTTTCTACCCATAAGGTACAGCCTTATTCAAGGCTATCACCAAATATTAGGCGGCCGTTGAGACCCGTGTGGCAGGGAGCTTACGCCACAGGGCACCTGCTGTGGCTTGGCAGAGAGCCAGGAGCCAGCCACTCTTCCTCTTCCCTCCCGTGTACTCCAATGAGAAGGTCATAAAAGAGAATACTGCCGAGCACTAAAAATATTTAATGTGATTTGCTAAGAGATTTGGTCATCAGGAAATAAAAATGTACTATACATGGTCACAGTGTTTTGGAAAGAGTGTGTGTATGGATTCTGTCTTGCAAGGTTTTTTTTTGGCACTTTGTATTTTTCACTGAAGACCGAACACTAAATGCTTTGGAAACAAATGGCACCTAAAGTATGAAAAAAGATCACCATATGCCATAAGTGTGGTGAGGGTAAGCAGACAAATTTAAGTACACGATTCTTGCATATTCAAACTCTAAATACCCAAATGCTTAGATTAATACATATAGGAATATTTAAAATAAATTGAAATACATCTGCCAAGGTAGGGTTTTAAAAACATAACTAGATAGTCTAACATGTTGTACCTTACATGTGCTTGGTTTCAATTAAGAGTAAGGCACTCACCGAAGGATGGACTGACCCGTGCTGTCAGCTACAACAGGCATGCATCATTACTGGCTTAATTAAAGTTTTAGTACTGATTAAAATGTTTTATTATTGTATTATCCTAAACTGCAGTGGTCTCCAACCTTATTAAGGGATACAAGAAAGATGATATAATTCAGGAGTTTCAGTTGCATAATTTAATAACCCAGCTACTGTCAATTTTTTATTTAAATAAGTTTTGATAAAAGCCAAGTTATCCTTGAGTCCAACATGACAGTATAAAATTTCTTTCTGAATACTGCTTAATAAGTAGTAGCTGAATATAAAATCATTTGAACATGTGACGTAGCCATCTTCATGCCTACAGTAATTTGCTTCAACACAACCGCAAGGAGAAACATTTAAATCATTTTCAACTGGCAAGAACAGAGGTGAAAGTTAATTTCATTAGCATCGTGATTAAATTAAATACAAAGTATGCTTTTATCAGCAACTTTTACATGTCCCCATTATTAGAAATTAATTATAAAAGCAATTATAAAAAAAGTTTTGACCAAGTACAAGGTACACATAATCCTCTTCATTGTTTACAAATAAGCATGACTTAGAGGCACTTGGTTACCTTTGAGTAAGAAAAAGAATAACCTAACCAGGGCCCTCACGGTAAGATTGGAGACCACAAAGCAAACTTGGTATGAAAATGCTCTCTGCCAAAAATATCAGATTAGTGAGTTAGTTAAGATACAACATTTAAAAAATATTAAGACTTTGCAAGGCTCTAGGCTGTAAAAAATACAAAGGCTAAAAACAAAAAGTTTACAAAATTTTGCAAACCCAGTGAATCTGAATGAGTAAGAAATCAAGAAAAATTTTCTTACTTGCAGGACAGTTTAAATAGTATCAATAGGTTTTAAAATAATAATAACACTAAACAGTAACAAATTCTACTCGGCTACATAACATTTCTGCTCCTTTAAGGACTCACCATACAGAACTTGTAACACTTTTCTGTGTCCAGCATTAAAACAGGCATGCACATGCACGTGCACACGCACACATACACACACACACATACACTACCGAAGTGCCACACATTACATTTCAGACAGAACACAACAAAAAACTTTAGATACATACAAAGACCTAACATGATTTTTTAAAAAATATTAAAGCATGACAATTGGAAAACATTATAAAATTTAAAAGGTGAAACGGGCAATGAGCTTTTTAAAAAGCCACCAAGTGATCTTCACGAGTGGAATAATATTAAATAATTTAATTATGCATCCCCTCAATTTGATTCAACAGTAGCTGTCTTAAGTCAGTTAAAAATCAGAAGTATTTTAAATCCTGAACAGACTCTGGGTTTCCAACATGATACGCAGCTGTCCAGGCTACCCATGGAACACTTTGTTCTCTCCAACAACAAAATTCAACATCACCTTTAGAAAGCTGAAGACATTTAGGCTAAAGAACATTAATGAAATGACTAAAAAGACCTGAAGCTTGTATAAGGTACTCTCAAAGATGGTAACGCTAGTGTAAACATTTGTAGACTTAATCATATCACAGCTTTAAGGTACGGGCTACCTAATGACATAGGAAACATTATCTATCTAGTTACAGACTTTCCTTACGGTGGCGTTTCACGTATCAAAAATAGAGATTGAATAGAAAGCTCTGTTACTTGCTTCTGGACAGCTTGTAAACATGGAATGTTTTGTTCTGAAACACTCTAGTGAAGTACGCTGTGTAGGGAGGCAGGTTTCTTTTGATCTCTTCACAGAAGCGAGGGTGGCCTGCAAGCTTCAAATCAGGATCATTCTCTCCTGGGCCATCCATCATCTAAGGCCAAAGCAAAACCAAATACAATTTTGGGGAAAAAATCGTATTTACAAGAGACAACAGAAGTAGGAGTGGGTATTGGGTTTCTTTAGGAGTGACATGTCAGTGAGCTTAAACTGAGCTAGTTCGGTGCCAGCGGCTACCTGGTCCACCCCTCTCCGCCTCAGAGTGTAAACCAAGGCTGACGGGGAGAGTTCACGGTCCAACCACGAGCACCTTTCACGGCAGAGCTAGAACTGGAACTCGGATCTCCTTGTTCTCAGGACATACTACACTGTTCCTCTCACAAAAATGAAATATAGAGAACTACTGTGACCAAAGAACGCTCTCCAACTCACTGGAGGGCCTAGTTAGGAAAAGGTATACACGAGGTGCCATTTAAATGCATGCATTTGGTCTGTACCTCTTTTGAATTCAAGATAGTTATGGACAGGTATTTTCCCTGGACACAAATCTGAATATCATACTGTTTTTTCCCCCTTTCCCCCTCAGCTTTACTGAAGCGTAACTGACAAAACTGTTTCTGTTTAAGGTATACAGTCGATGACTTGATATACATGGTGAAATGATTACCACCATCAAGCTAGTTAATATATTCGTGTGGTCGTTATCAGACGCGTTAAGTTCTGGGGAAGCGGAGTACAGCATGGTGATTATGGTCAATAACTCTGCACTGTGTATCTGAAACTTGGTAAGAGAGGAGATGTTAAATGTCCTGAATCTCAAATTCTATACACTCAAGTTTTGTTTTTCTTTTTCAGATGTAGGCTAGCTTTATCATTTTCCTCCCCTCATTTCAGAAATACCTATTAGCTTTTATACTAATTACAGTACACACCACCTTTAAAGGGTGAAAATCTACTGTTTGTTCTATTTGAAACCTGGCATAGCTGTAAAAACCTCCTCCTCAGAAGGAAGAAAGGGAAACAGCTTCTTTTCCTGGTCTGGAGTGTACGCTTGGCCACAGAAAGACTTTTTTTGGGGGGGGGTCTTTTCAGCTTTATTGAGGTATAATTGACACTCCAAGATCATGTATACATAAGGCGCACATCTTAATGACTTAATAAACAGACACACTGTGAAATAATCACCACAATCAAGTCAACAACACAGCCATCATCTCACATAATCACCATCATTTTTGTGTGTGGTGAGAACACGCGAGACCTACCCTCTCAGCAAATTTCAACTATACAACACAGTACTGCTAACTCGGCACGGTCAGCTCTCCACCACTTACTCACCTTGCACAGCTGAAACTTTGTACGTCTTGACTGGCATCTCCCCACTTCCCCTTACCAACAGCCCTTGGCAACCACCACTTTAATCTCTGTAAAGTTCATTTTCCTTTAGTATCTTGGGCTGTGGTATAAATGTGATGATGGTCTCATAAAATTAGTTTGGAAGTGTTCCTTTGTCAGTTTCTTGGAAGAACTTAAGAAGGATTGGTATTAATGCTCTTTAAATGTTTGGTAGAATTCACGCATGAAGCCATTTGGTCCTGGGTTTTTTGTTGTTGGAAGGTTTTTGATTACTAATCCAATCACCTTATTTGTTATTGGAGAAAGCCATCTTTGTGGGAGCATGCCAGTGGACAAAAGGGGACCCCCCACAAAAGGGTGGGGAGGGGAGTGGGATTGTACCACCAAGGCTGGGGGAGAGAGACGGCATGGCAGTGACAGCCTCAGGCACGAGCCAAAATGATGCTTTAGAGCAGCAGTTTCAAAAGGCTGTGGTTCTGTTTTTCATTTCAGCAGCATAACCTTAAAAACTGTATGCAGAGCCTCAGGATACCGACCAGCTGAAGGCGGAGCTGCTCTGTTCGATGTGAGGCTGGGCACCAGAGCTCCCCTCCCATCTCTCCCATCTCCCAGCCCCCCTGGCAAGTCACTAACGTGCCAAAGTAGGGGGGTTCTGCAGAATGCAAGGGAGAGGAACACTTGACCCGTAATGTAATTCCACAAAGTGCAGAGGTATTTACATTCCTGAGGACTCCCACTGCACCCTCTCCTCCCCAGAGCGCCCGCACGTGCACGTGGTGAGGGGGTGCTTACGTGGCCGTTGGCGACGTCCAGCAGGTCGCGCAGCCGGCAGCCCCGGCGGTGCCGGCGCTCGTAGCAGATGCTGTCCTCCAGGATCACGTAGTCCGCGCCGAAGGACCTGAGCAGGGCGTGCACGTCCTCGGGAGACCTCTTTGCATATATCTGATAAACCTTCAGAACGAGATAAAAATGGCATAGGGCAAAACGCCACTCAACACCGGGAAGCGGGTCAAGGAGCAGGTGTTGAAACCTCCCACAGGGGTTGAATCTAATCGTGGCCGCCCAGCCCCGCCACCCCATCCTGGGCGGGCGGCTCGTGCACCTGGAGTCCTGGGAGCCTGTGCGCGCAGTTTCCAAAGAGATGCTGTTGGGGACGGGGAGAGTGAGTCAATCTGAATACATCTGGATTGAGACACCAGATTTGGACTTAGAATGTACTATTTTGAGTTATGAATATATCCATCAGGAGATGCCAATTCTAAGAATGCCTCCCCGAAGTAAATAATGTGGTTAAGTTAAGAGTCTATCTTTTTAAACAGGGGAACTTTAGACTAAAAGGATCCATTAGGGGCGGTGGTACAGTTTGGAGGCACGTATACTTGTAAGGACACCCAGCTTCTGATAATGGCATCTGGGGAAAAGGACCCCCTACAGGGTCCCTGGTCCTGGGTGGGTGGGGGGGCAGCACCTCCTGTTTACTGCTGCTCTGCTGCACCTGCTTGACCAGGAGACCCTACATGTCTCTCTCCCTCGTCCTTCCAGAAGAGCAGCTCGCAGCGCCCAGCGGCAGTTCAACAGGAAGCACACATCCCATTCGCCACAGCTTCCGACACCTCAAGGGAGCAGACACAGACGGGGCGTGTCCTGCGTTCTGGGCCTTGGCGCCGGGAAAGACTGGATGGTGGGTGGGTGGAGGGGGCGGGCACTGAGAGCGCTGCTGCTTCCTTTGTCGCCCGCTGATTTCTAACGATGATGTCTCTGACTTGAGACTGGGCTGAGAGCCTAGGTCTGCGTGTCAGTGCGGAGGGCGGACATGGTAGGCGGGTGATCTGCTTCTGCTCACTGTGAGCACCAGCCTCACACTGAAGGCCTTCCTAGGATTCAAAGGTCCTGAAGGAAGAAGGGCACTAGGACATTCAGGATGTCAGTTTTTAGGGCGTACAACTCAGTACTGGGCAGGGACTAGATCTAGGAGCAGGTGGAGCACAGGACTTCTGTGCCTTTGACAAGTCTCTTCCGTACGTCTCTGGAGTCAAAATAGTGGCCACCTCCAAGCTGAGCTTGGGGTCCGGTCAGCCAGGCACCCTCTCCACTTCCTCTCCCTAACTTGGGGCTATCTGAACACTTGGGCAAATTGAAAAATTCCCATTTTAGCAGGAACCTAAGTTCAGACTACTCTCACAAAAAAGGGGGTATTTGGTAAAAACTACTTACTTTTAGGCTACTTAAATCGCACTCCCAAAAAAGACTTTTCAACAAATTTTCCAAGATTAAGAAGTGACTGACACAAAACATTAAAAAATAAAAAGTTTGAAACCCCTGCTGGTGAGGACTAAGACAGGTACCCTTCCATAGCGCTGACTGAAATGTAAACTGGTATAATCCATATAGATTTAGTAATCCCGCCTCAGTCACACATGCCCACTTCTAAGTACTGCATGTACCGAGATACACTTTGGACCTGTGCAGAGTGATGCGCATACAAGTTTACCGTCTGGAACACTGAGTGTATCATTGCATAGGACAGTGACACAACCTAAATGGTTAAATAAAATTTGGTACATTCACATGACAAAATGTCATGCAGCTTTAAAAATAATAAGGAAGCTGTTGATGTACCAACATGGTATGATCTCCAAAATATATTAAGGGCCAAAAAAGCAAGACTAAGATGTTGGTTCTTTTGTAGAACTGGAGGAAAAGAGTATGAATACATTTGTATGTACATATACACACACACGCACGCACATCTGTATATACAAAAAATTCCTGGTGACATTGTCTGCCTCCAGGGAGGGGAACCAGTCGCTGGAAGACAGGGGTGGGATGGGACTGTTCCCTTTTGCATGTTCTGAACTTCGAACTGCATGGCCGCAAGTGTGGCACACACACGCCCGTGTGCTCATTAGAAACGGCCACAGGAAATGTGACCAGCATGTCTTGACTCCTTTTCCCTCTCTCTCCAGTTCAAAAGCTCCGGGGGTCTCTGTCCTCAAGCTTCCTTTTCTATACATCTCAAGGTCCCTTCCTCCTCAGTTCTTCTTCTGCCTGAGAGGAACACAGGGCCTAAACAGCACACCTGTACCGGGTGGGGGGCGGGCCAGGGTCTGGACTCGGGAGGCGCAGGCCCTGCACACTTCAGCCCCCCGCCCCTCAGCCCGCGAGCAGCCCGCAGAGGTCCTCACCGCCTTGGTTCGCTCTCTCAGGCTGTTGTCCTCGTAGTGCGGGTGGTTGGTTAAGGTCCTTCCCGTGCACAGCTTGACGCCAGCGAGCAACTGCATGCTTCCAGCAAACACAGCCTTTCTCGGAGTGTTAGAGCTAAAAGATTTTAGAGTCTGAATTAACCCCACCGCTAAGACTTCCATGCAGACAACATCACACTCTCAGGACCACCCCCAGCTATGTTAGGAAGGGCTAACGGGAAATGAATCAGGAAAAACACAGGAAGGAGGCTGCTCGAGTTTCTGATTTGCACTCAAACTATTTTACAAAATTTTTCGTACCTGTTTTCGACAAATATTGGGAAACTTCTAATTTACTCTTTTGATGGCTTTATTCTTACAGTGGACTGTCTCAGGGTGTGAGTATCTCCTGAGTCTTCTAGGCCAAAACCCACAACCCTCTCCTGATTCTATCGAAAGAGGCCTTAGAAGACTACTACTAGTATTAAACTTAACTGGAGGGCTGCCTAGAGGAAAACAAACTATAGAGCCAGAAACTGCAGCTGGTCATGAGTCAGTTCCGAGGGTTTTTGGTTAAAACAAAAAAAATAAAATCACAGGTATTACTATAAATTACTTTTCAGAAAAAAATTTAGTAAAAACAAAAGAACACGGAAAGAAGATTCTGAAATAGCAAAATTACTCAGTGTGGAGATGTACAACATTTCTGACGTGGGGGCACCAGTGTTCCATATTCCTTTCCTTTCGTCCTGATTACAAACGACTACATGCATCTTAAGGAATACAGGGCATTCTGATATTAAATTATCATCTCACTTTCCAGTTATCAGCAAGCTGTGATGTTCTGCCTCCCCGTGGGGTGTGAGGGACAATGATGGAGAAAAGCATTTTTCTTTTTTTCTACTGGAAAAAAATAATCTTAGTCGCTAATTTAATTCTCTTCTTCTTCTTCTTTATTTTTTTTAAGTAACCTGGGAACCACCTGCAAATCAATGGTGTCATTTTATTGTGAAGAATATAACAGCCCTTCCATGGATTCTGCTCACTGCAGAATTTCCCAAAGAGCCCCACTAGGAACACTGCAAAGCACACTGACCCTTCTTGTGTTCAGGACGAGGAGTCTACGGCTGCTAGGCTGAGCTGAAATGATGGAGACAGTTTTGAGAAGGAGTCTAACTGAAATAATTAACATATCCTGCAGAAAAAGCCAGAGCAGGCCCTTCTCCTCAACCTTTCTGGAGATCAGGGCATGGGACTTGCTCTAGTGCTCAAGTTTCTAAGAGAAGCCCCCTCATATTCATATATCCCCTGAGGATGCGCTACTTACTCCAATTTAACGCCAAGACTGCAGCACGAATGCCATCCAGCAAAGGCCTTAGGATGTCTACAAGCGAGGCATCCTACAGTTCAAGTTGAAACATTTACAAATAATTTACTTTTGAAAAATGCAAGATTTTCTAACGACGACACTGTCATTCACTTGAATTCCAATGAGCTTTTTTAAGTGATTAAAAAAAAGTGGATAGAGTGACCATGCTCACACAGGGAATGACACGTAATCTGCACCCTCCCTTAGTCCCGCCGGAGCCCAGAATGTGGATTTCCACAGAAGAAAGTTTAAAGTGAGCCTGGCTGTGCTTCATAGGATAGCATCCTTCTGACAACCAGACCCAGGAACACAAGCACAAACAGATGTCTGCTCCATCCCCCTGAACCAGCAATTTACAGGGAGCTCTTGACATCTGTCCCACATGGTCAGGGAAATAGGAGGGTGTAAGTGAAAAGAGGTGAAGGTGCACAGAATTCCTCCGTGAAAGATTTTTACAAAAATTCCGCTGAAGTCAATGAATACTTACTAAACCCCCGAGTCTATGCCACACAGACCGTGCTGGCCTCATCTATACT